GCTCTAGCACTCGTTCAGACCCCTTCTCCCCGTGCTGCTGCTGCTGCTATGCGTAACCCTGGCAGACACGCTTATCTGAACCGTGACAAATCCCCGTACGATTTCCTTGCGTCCAGATGCAATATCGAGTTGCATTCCCGATCGCTGAGTCGGGGTCATTGGCTTGAGACCCCATATTGCCTGTCCAGTAATTGGACAAAGCCTTAACATCCGGGCCTTAGATAGTCTCATTAGTTTGATGGCAAGCGGCAAATGTTCAACACACTTGTTGGACATGTCCCTCCCTCCCCGCCCATGTTTTATGTGGTGCACTCTTGCCAATAAAATAACAGCTGCCAATCCAGCCGCATCTTTAGAACGGATGTTTGTGTTTCGGTTGTTGTCTCTTCCCCCGCACATTTGTTTAACAAGTGGAGCTTGTACTGATGAGACCCAGAATATTGGTCTGGGAAACCAATAGGCTGTGGACTGAAGCATATTTGTATTCATATGTGGAGAAACAGGATCGAGTTCTGCTTGTATTAACATAAGTGCAGGTTGGCCTGGGACAGAGCCCCATTTAGGTGGTGGTTCAATCGAGACATTTGTCCAGGGCTCAAAACTCCGGAAGGGACCACGAAAAAAATACAGTGAATTCTGTTGTTTATTATTCAGAAAGAGGAACACATGAGTTTGAATACACGCATATTATGGCACCATTCAGTTCCTGAATAAGCTCCAAGTGCATATCGTCGGACATCCCACACCTCCGATTAGCACGGTGGGCTATGCACGGTGCGAAAGAAGTTCAACGTATGGTACAAACATCACGCCGAACTAGACGCAGTACAACCAGGACATCCCTTAGGTGTCCTCAAACTGGCAATAAACGCGAGCGGGCTTGGGCAGGACACGTCGTGGCTAGAAGCGACGATGGCGAATGTTTGAGGAGCATGACAAGAGTGGGCAGCTAAAGGACGGAATGAGAAAACGTCAAGTCGAGGAGTACGGAGCAATGAAATCAGCTTGTGTGCGGGTACCAGAGGTCGCAACCGGGTACCCGATACCCGTACCCTACCCAATACCCGGCTACCCGTACCCGGCCGGGTACGGGTACGGGTAGCCGTTTGCGACCCTGGTGCGGCCGGGTACGGGTACGGGTAGGCCGTGAGTCACTGGTGAGTAACCGTTTGTCACTCATTTCGGTAGGGTACGGGTAAGGAACGGGTAGCCATACCCGGCCGGGTACGGGTACCCATTTGCGACCCTGGTGCGGCCGGGTACGGGTACGGGTAAGGAATCAAAACCCGTTTGCGACCTCTGGCTGGTACGTAGCAGTTTCTCTCCGTGGTCGTGTGGATTTTCTCCGGGTCATCCGGTTTCTCCCCTCCTCCTCCTCCTCTCCACATTTAGTATCAACATCACGCGTGTCGAGTATTTGGCTGCTATAAATGTCCACGTGACGAGCCACTTCGTTGAGCTTTCATTGGTGGCCAGGTCGCTTCTGAGCTACGCAGCTCAGTTCGCCTTATCTGGTAAAAAACAAATGTGGTGGATTACACTGGTCAACACACTTTTTCTGGCATAAGGTATTCCAACGATTTTAATGCAATTTTGGAGTGCCGATTCCAAATCTGGCATCAGTTTTTGTCTATCACATCAGGTTTTTGAGATATCAAATATTGCATTTTCAATAAAAACTGCAGAAGAAAAATATTTAATAAATGTGGATATCTACATAAAAGTATGTTATAAACACACTATCCTAAAAATACAGCACCATATTTTAACACTAAAGCAGTCACTGACTCGCAACAACTTGCAATCATAAGTGACAGAGTTAATTTCGGGTAAATGGGGTATGCCGATAGCATAAAAATGAGATGTGATAGAGCAAATCTGAGATCAGATTTGGAATCAGCACCCTGAAATTAGTCTTAAACAGCTGCAAAAGTCCAGGCCAGAAAAAAATGTTTCTTTTTTTGTAGACCAGTGTTATCGCATCGCAGAATCGTGAGAGATGGCGGCGGCTTGGCAAGGAGGCCTTCCTCCAGCAGTGGATTGAAAGAAGGCTGATGATAATTACAACGGCCAACGTAGGTTATGTTTATTCATATAATCGATTTAATATGAAAATATATAAACAATACTTTACCATATTTAAGTGTTAGGGTTTTCTTACTATTCCAGTGTGAGGGACGCAACGCATTTGAAACCATTTTGGGTTTGACAGCAACACGATGATGGCGATGATGATTGGGGGGGGGGGGAGTGTTTTCACTCTTTGTGTATCGCCGGGTGCCGCATGTCTGGGGCCACACTAAAGGCCACCAGGGGTTGCCAGTGGCCCCGCGGGGCCTTGCAATGAAGACCACAGCTCTATTCTAATCTGATGTCCTGGGGGGCAAAGATACCTGACTCCGACGAGCTGTTGGCAATTTGATTCTGTTATTTTTGTTGTTGTAATTAAGTTAAATTACGATGCGTCAGTGTGATTGCCCCGGAGGTATAATTGCCTTGCCCTCAGAGCAAAGCACTCTGGACGCGCCTGATCCCCGTCGATTTTGTCATAAGCTAAGCAGGGATGAGTTTTTGGTTATAATCTCCAAAGAACGTGTTCATGACCAGGGCATTGCCAGGTGCTGAGTTATCATACTCTTAGTTCTTTCGGTAAAGTCACGTAGGTAAAAAAATTTAATTAAAAATGTATAAAACAAAAATAATAAAATCACGACGTTTTGGAGGCAACACAAGTCTCCGTCATCAGGTGGGACCGTCACAGCCAGATTTGCTGCATCAAGTGAGGCAGGGATTCAAGATGCAAGCTCTTAAATACAAGTTAAGAGGGAGTTATCATTTGTGGCCAGGTCGCTTCTGAAAAAGAAGCTAATAAATAGCTCAGTGAGCTCTAAATGGTAAAATAAAAATGTTTTTTTTGTGACATGCTTACATTTCCAATACTTTGCACTTCTATCGTGTTTTGCTTTAGTTTGCTGCTGTAACGTTCTGACCCGCCCCTACTGAACATCTTTCACAACGAGCTTTATAGATCGTCGGATTGCTCCAACATCAACGAGTAATCTGATTCTGTGGCCAGGAACTATCAGCTCGTGATGGTGCAGTGCTGAGTGCCGTAATTTAGATGTTGTTGCTGGCCACGCGGCGTTTTCAGCCATTCTAGGCTTTTGCTCATAACCGTAATAACAAACAAATCTTGTTTGATACATAATTGCTTTCTTCTGGGTTAGGTCGTGTAACAAAAAAATGCAATAAACCCTCCTCCGCCCGACACAGCCAATTAATAAAAGTGTCCCCGTGAATCAAACGTGCGAAATGCATTGCCTGCTTGGGCAAAGCCATCGGTGTGATGTTGGAGAGTAATCTCACGACAATTATATGGCTACAATACGACGTTCCGCTGGAGGTTACGTTTATTTTACTTGCGACACGGACGATGGTCCAGTTTAGTCAGTCGCCCCCGATATTTTACAAAGGAGATCCGTGGTGCGTGAGCACACCAGCGACAGCATAACAAAGGCAAATACATCCGATATTGCAGAGAATGAGTACAGCAGGGTCATTCGGAGATATTGCACAGCTAACAACAAGGGGTATTTATCTGTCGCGAATAAAAAAAAGTGCAAATATAATGGGAGCAAGAGGTGTGTTAAAATGATTGACACAACTTCAAAGCAGTATATTTCTCGATGGCAACATGTTACAATTACACGAAAAGTTACAAACGGTATAATGAGTTATCAAGTTTTACTAACCATTGTATAAATGCTCTATGTGCCCTCCACCTGCTGTACAGACAACATCGAGACGATAGTTGAATTCGTCCCAAACGCCTCTCAAAGTGTCTTCTTCCACTGAAGTCACCGCTGCCGTGATTCTGTTTTTGAGGTCATCCAGATTAGTCGCCAATAATGGTGGCACAGAAACACCACGGGTCTTTGACGTATCCCCACAATAAAAAGTCGCAGGGTGTGATGTCTGGGGATCTTGGGGGCCAAGAGTGTAGCGCCAAGTCTTGGGGTCCCGTGCGACCTATCCAACGTTGAGGCAGTGTGTCTGAGGCTAGGGGCTGTTTGTGCGCTGGGAGAAGCATCGAGTGGTAATCATTTGACACTTTATGCCCCGCCCTTTCAAGTGGTAAGAATTTCATTAATGGACGGTTCGTGGTTGCAGAGATTTAGCGATTTCAAATCGGGTACATATTTTTAATCACCCTGTATATTCAGTCTACCAGTGACACAAACACACACAATCTAAAACAAAAATATGGAGCAAAAATGTGGGAGGAAGAGGAGCCAGAAAAAAAGTTAGGTACAGGCGGAAGTAAGTGCTGTTTTGGTGAAGTGGGGAAATAGATGGAGAGTGAAGAGACAGAGAGAGGCAAGCTGTGGATGAGCAGCGATGGGTTTCAGGAAACGTGGAGCAGCAACACGGACATATTTTTCACCAAAGTGTTTTTCTTCTCCAAAGTTACATCCAGCATCATGAGGTTGTTGACAGGAGCTCAGCTCTCGGAGGCTTTGAGACTCAGTGATAGGAAGAGGTGCCAGAAAGAAAGAAAACGTTAGGTACAGGTGGAAGTAAGCGCTGTTTTTTGGTTAAGTGGGAAAATAGAGGGAGGGTGAAGAGAGAGGGCAGCTTGTGGATGAGCTGCAATGGCTTTGCAGAAACGTGGAGCAGCAAAAGCGGAAATGTTCTTCACCAAACTAAGTTTTTTTTTAACCAAAGTTACATCCATCATCATCAGGTTATTGACAGGAGCTCAGATCTCGGAGGCTTGAGACTTCGTGAAGCTGTTGTTCCGATGTGTGGGTGGGGTGGAGGACGAGAGGGGGAGGGGTGTGTGGTTTAATTATCTTTAAAGAATGTGCGTAACAATACGTAGAGCACGATGACACACACACACAAGCTCATTATCTTCTTTGCTTACTCTTTGAGCGCATTAAAGTTGGACGTTTACGCCCACAAGCTGTGTTTTTACTCATTGAGCGTCATTTCCTGGGGGTTTTCTGCGTGTGTGTGTCTGTGTGTGTTGCGGTGAGTTGCGAGTGGGGGCGGTGAAAGTTTATACAGAGCAGCAGCAGCAGAGGAGCAGAAGCAGCAGAGGAATAAAAAAAAGGCGAACAGGCGGAAACCCGACCGGCTTATCCAGCCAGAGCCGACGTACGTACAGAAATCCTCGTTCAGCTCGGACACATCTCGTGAGATGACGATTTTAACGATGACTGCCACGTTCTTTTACTACCTCTTGGCGTACACGGCCATCACGTGCAACTCGCAAGAAGTCACGGGTGAGTGAGAGAGTCAAAAGGGTGCGGTGTGAAGTTTTTAAACGTGCTTCTGGCCGCTTGCTTGCGTACGACGGGGTTTTGTCGCGCGGTCATTGGCGACTGTCTGTCAACCCCGTGTGGCTGTTCGGCTCGATGTTCCGACGTTTCGCTCCTACATTGCCGGGGGAGCTTCTGCTGCAGCGCTCGAAAGAATGGTCGGGGCGAGGTGGCCGGCCGGTATAGGCAGACGTTCGTGGGAAGAAACTCGCAGCTCGTGCGGCGAAACGTCGGACAATCGTGGCGAACAACAACAACAACAAGAGGCAGTAGAAACCACGCGTCCACAACTCGAGAGTTGGTTCGACCAACTCTTTGTGCCGTGTTCTTTGTGGGCGCGTGTCCGTCCCGAATTGCTTGCCTCTCTGTGCGTGCGTGCCTCTCTGTGCGTGCGTGCCTCTCTGTGCGTGCGTGCCTCTCTGTGCGTGCGTGCCTCTCTGTGCGTGCGTGCCTCTCTGTGCGTGCTTGCCTCTCTGTGCGTGCGTGCCTCTCTGTGCGTGCGTGTCGCGGTGTTTGTGTTTGTTGCGGTGTTTGTGTTTGTTGCGGTGGGCGCGTTTGCGTTACGGAACCCGGCGATCCGAGTTCGATTCCCTGCTCACAGACAACTTATTTGTACTGGTGCTGGGCCTCCCGTAGGTGGACTCGGCACTCAAATGAGAACCCGGGTGCCGTGCGTAAAACATCGACACTGGGGAGACAAAGGCGACCGGGCGTGGTGCTGACCACCAACCCCCACCCCCACGTGTGCCGTGCCGGCCTTCACAAGCGCTACTCGCTAACAGCACTTGCCCCAACAGTCTGTCCAAGGCTATACGGGGGGGGGGGGGGGATCTTTGTCTTTGTGTGTCGTCTGGAAGTTGTTTTGTTTCTGCGGGGTTGACGACTGTTAAAATGGAAATGGGAAGAGGGATTGAGAAAAACACGTTTTCTTCATCTTGTCAATTCTCTTTGCGAGGCAATGTATTGATTGTCGATGCGTCCGATGCGTTCTGGTTACGTGTGTACGGTGTGTGTCGGTGTGTGCGGTGTGTCAGTGTGTGTGTGTGCAGTGCTTTGTTTCTGGTGAGATGACTTTGAGAAATTATCAGAAGAAAAAAAACACGAGCATGTGTTTTTAATTCGTGCGAAGACTCATGGACAGTAATGTACATGCTTCATGTGGTGTCTGCGTGTGTGCTGGTATGTGTGTGTCTTTGTGTGTGCTGGTGTGTGTGTGTCTTTGTGTGTGCTGGTGTGTGTGTGTCTTTGTGTGTGCTGGCATGTGTGTGTGTCTTTGTGTGTGCTGGTGTGTGCGTGTGTGCTGGTATGTGTGTGTCTTTGTGTGTGCTGGTGTGTGCGTGCTGGTGTGTCTGTGTCTTTGTGTGTGCTGGTGTGTGTGTGTCTTAGTGTGTGCTGGGTGTGTGTGTCTTTGTGCGTGCTGGTGTGTGTGTCTTTGTGTGTGCTGGTGTGTGTGTGTCTTTGTGTGTGCTGGTGTGTGTGTGTGTCTTTGTGTGTGCTGGTGTGTGTGTGTCTTTGTGTGTGTGTCTTAGTGTGTGCTGGGTGTGTGTGTCTTTGTGTGTGCTGGTGTGTGTGTGTGTCTTTGTGTGCTGGTGTGTGTTGTGCTGGTGTGTGTGTGTCTTTGTGTGTGCTGGTGTGTGTGTGTCTTTGTGTGTGCTGGTGTGTGTGTGTCTTTGTGTGTGCTGGTGTGTGTGTGTGTCTTTGTGTGTGCTGGTGTGTGTGTGTGTCTTTGTGTGTGCTGGTGTGTGTGTGTCTTTGTGTGTGCTGGTGTGTGTGTGTGTATCTTTGTGTATGCTGGTGTGTGTGTGTGTTTGTGTGCGCTGGTGTGTGTGTGTCTTTGTGTGTTCTGGGTGTGTGTGTCTTTGTGCTGGTGTGTGTGTGTGTGTCTTTGTGTGTGCTGGGTGTGTGTGTCTTTGTGCGTGCTGGTGTGTGTGTGTCTTTGTACGTGCTGGTGTGTGTGTGTCTTTGTGTGTGCTGGGTGTGTGTGTCTTTGTGCGTGCTGGTGTGTGTGTCTTTGTGTGTGCTGGTGTGTGTGTGTGTCTTTGTGTGTGCTGGTGTGTGTGTGTGTCTTTGTGTGTGCTGGTGTGTGTGTGTGTTTGTGTGCGCTGGTGTGTGTGTGTCTTGTGTGTTCTGGGTGTGTGTGTCTTTGTGCTGGTGTGTGTGTGTGTCTTTGTGTGTGCTGGGTGTGTGTGTCTTTGTGCGTGCTGGTGTGTGTGTGTCTTTGTGCGTGCTGGTGTGTGTGTGTCTTTGTACGTGCTGGTGTGTGTGTGTCTTTGTACGTGCTGGTGTGTGTGTGTCTTTGTACGTGCTGGTGTGTGTGTGTCTTTGTGCGTGCTGGTGTGTGTGTCTTTGTGCGTGCTGGTGTGTGTGTCTTTGTGTGTGCTGGTGTGTGTGTCTTTGTGTGTGCTGGTGTGTGTGTCTTTGTGTGTGCTGGTGTGTGTGTGTCTTTGTGTGTGCTGGTGTGTGTGTCTGTGTGTGCTGGTGTGTGTGTGTGTCTGTGTGTCTTTGTGTGTGTGCTGGTGTGTGTGTGTCTTTGTGTGTGCTGGTGTGTGTGTGTGTGTCTTTGTGTGTGCTGGTGTGTGTGTGTGTCTTTGTGCGTGCTGGTATGTGTGTGTCTTTGTGTGTGCTGGTGTGTGTGTGTACTAGTGTGTGTGTGCTGGTATGTATGTGTGTGTGTCTTTGTGTGTGCTGGTGTGTGTGTGTGTCTTTGTGTGTGCTGGTGTGTGTGTGTGTCTTTGTGTGTGCTGGTGTGTGTGTGTGCTGGCGTGTGGGTGTGTGTGCTGGTGTGTGTGTGTCTTTGTGTGTGCTGGTGTGTGTGTGTGTCTTTGTGTGTGCTGGTGTGTGTGTGTCTGTGTGTGCTGGTGTGTGTGTGTGTCTGTGTGTCTTTGTGTGTGCTGGCGTGTGTGTGCGCTGGTGTGTGTGTGCTGGTGTGTGTGTGTGTGTCTGTGTGTCTTTGTGTGTGTCTTTGTGCGTGCTGGTGTGTGTGTGTCTTTGTGCGTGCTGGTATGTGTGTGTCTTTGTGTGTGCTGGTGTGTGTGTGTGCTAGTGTGTGCTGGTGTGTGTGTGTGCTAGTGTGTGTGTGTGTGCTGGTATGTGTGTGTGTGTCTTTGTGTGTGCTGGTGTGTGTGTGTCTTTGTGTGTGCTGGTGTGTGTGTGTGTGCTGGCGTGTGGGTGTGTGTGCTGGTGTGTGTGTGTCTTTGTGTGTGCTGGTGTGTGTGTCTTTGTGTGTGCTGGTGTGTGTGTGTGTCTTTGTGCGTGCTGGTACGTGTGTGTGTCTTTGTGTGTGCTGGTGTGTGTGTGTCTTTGTGTGTGTGTGTCGCTGTGTGTGCTGGTGTGTGTGTCTTTGTGTGTGTGTGTGTGTGCTGGTGTGTGTGTGTGTCTCTGTGTGTGTGCTGGTATGTGTGTCGTTGTGTGTGCTGGTGTGTGTGTCGCTGTGCATGCTGGTGTGTGTGTGTCTTGGTGTGTGTTTGTGCGTGCTGGTGTGTGTGTGTCTTTGTGTGTGTCACTGTGTGTGCTGGTGTGTGTGTGTCTTTGTGCGTGCTGGTTTGTGTGTGTCTTTGTGCGTGCTTGGGAGCGGTGGCGCAGTGGTTGTCGCACTGCGTCACGAACCAGGCAACCCACGTTCAATTCCCGCTCGCGAACGATAAGAGTGGCGAATATTTGAACCGGTCCCTTGGATCCTTCCCCCTTAGATCGGCAGAGGCTTAAACGACTACCTGGTGCTGGTCTGTAAAACGAAAATAAAAAATCTGCACTGGGGAGACAAAGGCGGTCGGGCATGACCACACCGCGTCTTCCCCCAATATTAGTGTGTATTTTTAAATCCTTTATATTAAGTTCACTTGCTTGCTTGCTTGCGCGCTTACGAATCTTTCGGTCGTTTTTTAACCCACTTCCCGTGATCCAATCGAGCTGACATTTTGCACACAGACTCGTTGTGCGTGACAATTTCTTTTCGTGAAAAAAAATCCCAAATTTTACACTTTTTAGGATTTTTTTTATATATTTAATTACCAATTGCTTAATGGTGGCAGGCAATCATCTGACCCATAGGTGGCAGCCATCTCAAGCCAGAGGACGAGAGGACTTTAGCCGCCCGTTTCAAAGACCAATGTGGGCTGGGTTGTGGCCCATTGAACACGCATATAAAGGATTTATAGTGAAAAACTTTGTTTTTACGGGTTAATTTTTCCTGCCTGAGTTCGTGTTCGCTAACAGCACTTGCCCTCGCAGTCCGCCGGAGACTGTACGGTGGGAATCTTCCTGAGAGAAGTCGTGCTGCACACGATTGCCCCCCCCAGTGTCTTCTTTGTCGTGTTGAACGCCCGAGGCGTGTGGAGGAGAGGGGAGCGGTGGCGCTGTGGTTAGCCGCTGGGGGGATGGGGGTGCTGTGTTGTGATTCCCGGCGCACGGCTCGCATCGGTGGCGAGTGGCGCCTGAACCGGTCCTGTGGGGGCATTCCCCCAAAACCCCCTCGATCGCTGCGGCGTCAAATTTGCTAGCCCGGTCCGAGTGATGTTGTTGTGAACCATCAGCACCGGGAAGACAAAGGCTGCCCGGGTGTGGTGATGACCACACCGCCTCCTCTCTCTTCCCATGAGCCTGGCGTGCCTTAATAGGTGCTCGCAAACATAGGGTGTGCAGTCTGCACCGTGGCGTTATTCATACGGCCAGGGGGATGAAAGAGGGGGGGGGGGCAGAGCGAACATGTTCTCGATTGTGAGAAGACCGTTCGATAGTTTATTGTTCACGTGTTCGCGCTGTGCACGTCTGCATGGTCTGTGCACTGCGTTTGTTTCCGTGCTGCGATGAATTACCCGGTGGATTAATCCGAGTGGGATGTGCTCTCTTGCACGTGTGTACGTTGAACTTTTTTTCGCACCGTACGTAGCCAACCGTGCTTATCGGATGTACGCGGAAAAGGACGACAATCTGAACACAAAAGGCAACTAGTTCTAAATACAGTA